TGTCTATGCAAAATTATGTTTGAATGTGTTAAGTTATCCGAAGAGTTTCGTTGATCGTAAACAATCATTAACACATTTTTTATACCAAATGTGATTTTATGTTTTGAATTACCCATTGTTGTTGTCGTTGTTGTTGTTGTTGTGCTGTTGTTGTTTATATTTGGATGCACGTATGTGACCTTGTCCGTACGTTCATTTATTTATTGGTGGTTGATTTGTATGTGCGAACTTACGTACGTTTATTTATGTGATGCATGTTTGTTTGTTTGTATGTATTTATGTATGTGTGTAAGTATGCATGTATGTATGTATGTATGTGTGTATGTATGCATGTATGTATGTATGCACGTACGTATGTATGTTTGTATGTATGTATGTATGTAGTGTTGTCAACAAAACGATAATAATGTAGCTCATAATACAAATAACATCGTACTTTAAATAAGAACGTATTTCTACCGCCTTTAAATAAGCAAGATGAAAAAATCATGAAAAGAATAGTACGAAACAATAAAAAACTGTCAACGAAAATGACAAAATTAAAATACGAATCTACTTTGCAAACCAAAAAACATCCTCCGCGATAATGAAAAACAATAACTGTACTTAAGTACCAGATTCAATATTGGATAGAAGTCACCCGATATATTCATTTAATTGCAAAATTGGTGAATGTTTACACCAAAAATCTGAACATCTCGGAGTCACTGACACCAAACTATCAAGAAGACTTTCTATGCACGTTCAATCTGGAGCTATCAAAAACCACCTGAAAGACAAACACAAAACAAAACCCACTAGAGACATCCTTGATAACAATATTGAAGTTCTACATTATAATAATAACAAGCAAGAACTACGAATTGCAGAATCACTTTTGAATGAACAAAGACATTCCATTACAAATAAATATTCGTCAAAGGGCCCCTGGCGTTCTACCATCTCATAAAATTAGAAATCGTCTTTACCGCGACGACACACAAAGAGGTACAATGAACTCATAAAAAAACTTTAATTCACACAAAAAGATTCAAAAAACTCATAAAAATTTTAATATAATATTTTATTTGATTAACGATGACCATGCTTTCGTTGGCATTTAAATGATGGCAGACACATATTGTCAGTCAATCACTTTGGCTGGTATGCCGTGTGCATGTCCTCTCAAAAAATTGAAATCCATACATCACAACATGGGCTTAAATGTCCCAATTTATTTAATATTTTATAATATAATGTTTACATTAAACCAGACTTTAATAAATGCAAACACTATCTTGTCTTTAAGAAAACATTCATAACGACATTATTTTTATAAAGTCATTCGCAAACTTTATTCATTTTTTATACTTCCTTTGCTAACTTTTTTTTCTATTAGCTTCGTATTTTGATATTTTTTTGGTTTTTCTTATATCATTTCAAATTTTCCCTGCCTGTGTTGATATATTTTTTCACAAATTATATTATTCTAATTTTGTTTTTTGTGGGCTGGTTATTCTCTTGACGCTTTATTTCAATTATCGTTGCGTTAATAAAATATAGCATGTCTGTCAGAGTTTGATCTTTTAAAAAATAAGAGAAAAAATATTTATCAATTTTCTTATGTTTTATTTTTATTAATTTATTTTATATTTACGATAAAAATCTCATGTTTTCAAAGGTTTTCGTTAACAAGGACGTCATAAACCTTTCAACAATTCACGCCGGCCAACATCTAGAAGTAATTTAAATTTAAAAATATGTGAAAGTTATTAAGATAGTATTAGTATATAAGAAAGTTATTAAGATGGGAGTTTTTTTGCGCTTACCTTAAAGATTTATTTATTCATCAATATATTTTTTTATAATGTCATTTATTTTCTCTTTTAATTGGCATTTTAATTTATTTTTATCAATTGTTTTTGTAATTCACGTTGTCAATCAATCTCATTTAATTAATTCGGAAGCATTGCATTAAACCAAAGAATGATTAAATGTTCGAAGCGTTTGTTTCATCACACTATATGTATGTTTTGTATATACATGTTGTATATGTGTGCACGACTGTCTTTAGCTGGCTAAGTTTTGATGAGTATATTATTACTTCAATAATTCCAACGTGCAACTATCATTTTAAAGCAATTAATCACATCAGACCAATTTTGTTAAGAACAGTAGCATCTCCATTAATACGTTGTTTAATCTTATCTAGATTAGATTACTGCAATAGTCTTTTATATGACATCACCAACTACAATTGAAAAGACTTCAAACATTGATGAATAAAAATGCACGTGTTGCCCTAAACATTAAACTTCCAGCAAGTCAGACCAACTCAATAAAAGACCTTAAAACTCTTCACTGGCTTCCAATCGAATTTCGGATCCAATTTAAATTTCTACAGTAAAATTCAAGTACAAAATCCAACATTGCTTTCCGTGCTTTCCGTCATTCTTCACCATCAATTTGGGACAAATTACCAGATCATATTAGAACCTGTTCTTCACTGGCTACTTTTAAGAAAAAAAAAATAAAAACTTATTTTTTTACTATTTGCTATAATCGCTAATAACATTTAAACAACATTATATCTATATTATATCTAATTCTTTGGCTTTATATGTAATTTCCATTTTATATCATATATCATGTTGCACTAGCTTTTCTGACAAAGAGCCCTTCAGTTGCTTGCCCTTAGCGCTATATAAGTTATTATTATTATTAATATTATTATTATTATCATTATCATTATTATTAATATTATTTATCGCTGCGGCCCACTTGTCACTTGTGCAAGGACGATACAATTTTGTTGTGGAAACTGAGGTTTTATAATTTTGTTCCCAATGCATTCAAATTGAAATGATCCAAATTTTAGAAAATATTTGATGAATTGATGATGACTTACAAATTTAACGGCAAATATGTTTTAATATGGACTGGGAGCTTCTGCTAAATAGTTAGGGACCTCCACTTCCTCATTGTTTCAGGCCCTTTATTAGATTTTCAGAGGTTTCCACCAAACAGGTTAGTTGCTAAATAAATAGAGGCTTTAGCTAAATAACTAGGAACCCCATACTAAATGTTTATGAGCCCTCATTAAATGATGAGAAGTTTCCACCAAAAAATTAGAGATCTTCTACTAAATAATTGAAAACTTCCAACCTGGAAATCTAACTGTGTGTGGTGCTAACTATTAAGACAGAAAACAGTGGCCAAATATACAAGGTTTGTTTTATAATGCTTGTATATAAAAGTTTTTCGAAAAGTATTTTTAAACGTTTATGCTCAAAATTGGTGTTCGAATCTTTATTAACTTTGGGTCACATAGTCCAAAGCAAACATTGTCGAGAAGGTGCCCTTGTTTTTTGAATTGATTAAACTGCAATTGCATAGAATCGATGTTTTTTATGCTTTTTTTCAACTTCTTAAGGTTTCCTACTTTAAATTGTTTGATATTTCTTAACGACTTCTACTGCATCTTCCATTTTTCTAAATTTCACTAAAGTATTGAAAGTTTTTTATTGTTTCCTATTTAAATCACACTATTGCATAGATTGAAATAAAATTATGAAAATGTTGTATATATTTTAAATGCCTCTAGGCATGTATAAGGCGAAGGAATGATTTTTAGTTTTGCACAATTTTCCAACGATAAAATTTCATCATTGCAGCACAGCAGATAAAACTATATTATTTGCGCACAGAACAAATTACATAATTTATTTATCAGTCTTTTTCAAAATAATATAGAATAGTTAAAAGTTTTACTATATTGCAGTTGCTTTCTAATGTTTTCAAAGTGTATTTTATCTTTTCCTAGAGTAGTAGTATTAATTCGCAGTTATAGAGCACATGCTAGAGTTAGAAGTAGGAGTCAAAAAGTTTTCAATCAAGCAGTCGAGTTTTTATCCGACTCCGATACTATTTTGCCTTCACTTATCGGTATAAATTAAGTTGAAGTAAAAAATTTTATTAAAAAATTTTGTTCGACAATTTCTTGAGTTTTACATGCCGTCAATATTCAAAAGCGTAGTCCTTAGTCAAGAGAAGGGCTTGAGCGGAGGGCAGCAGTTTCCTCCAAATGTATAACTTTGTTGATGTAAAGTTTAAATCCCCCAAAATGTATGAATAAAGCTTTAAAATTTTTTTTGAAAAAAACTGAATTTCCATCAGAGAATTGTAGGAATAAGTTTTGAAATGAGCATATAAAAAATGTCAAGTCCGTCCGCAGACATTATTCATCTGCCTGTAGTTTGAATATTTAAATGGGGTAATAACTTTTCCATTAAAATCATTAGCGGGCTCATTTGAGGAGGACAAATAAAAATGTGATGCATTATTTCAACTTCTCTGTTATTTTTTTTATTTTATTTTTAAACTATTGTTACTTTTTACGTTTCTGTTAAAAATTTGCAAAGTATTTTACACTGAAGTTGAGCATCAAAATCCTTAGCGATAAAAATTTATTTCTGTAAATCTGTCGTTGATTTTCTAAATAATCAATTTTAGATTCAAAGATTTATTTTCAATAGTTGCAGTGAACATAAGAAAGTATTTTAAACAATTTTTTGTTTCATAATTTTTTGATTCATAATTTTTTGATTCACTAAACTTCTAATTTCCATTCAAATGGACGGAGTTTTAATATGGCGTCTGATTTTTAATTTGGTAACTCTTATAATTACTATTTTGCTTTTAGTGATTGTATTATTTCTGAAAATTAATATGAATAAAAATATAAAGGAATAAAACAATTTTTAGCCTTAAAGATTAAATGTGTGATGTCACAGCTATGGAAAACATAAACTTTTTCTAAAGCACTTTGTAAACAATAAAGTAAACAATGTTTTAACATTACGTTCGGTGAAGATCATTTCAAGTTGTTTTACATAAAAAAACATTTTTACATTTACATAATTGTAAGATACAAAAACAAATACCTCATTGATAAACAAGTTAAAAATTGAGGACGATGAAGTACTCACAAAGTGATGCATACAGCGACAATCACACTCACGATGATTTATGCGACGCAATCTCTACTTCTCGGTCGAATCGCTGCTGATTTCATCAGGCTCTGGAACGGCAACATGTTTCTGGATGAGAAAACTGGTTACTTCAGACATTTAGATTCGCTTTTCACCAAAAAGCCACTAGCGACTCACGGATTTCTGCAAACTTTAATAAGATCAGGATTGTTTTCAAGTCATTGGTCACAAATCTGCGCCGACGATTGGGGCGCCAACGTGACTCATCTCGTCTGTACACATTTGGGGTTTTCAACTGGAACTGCTTACCACATGACCTGGACTGTTGAGACCAATGACGCCGATATGAAAACTGTAACTCCTCTTAAAAACTGTCCCATGGGACTTTCTATGAAAGAATGCTTTGCACAATCTGCGGAAATTTATTGCAATTCACAAAAACTTATTTACATTATTTGCTACAATTTTAAATATGAAGAGGACATTGAGCCGGTAAAAAACAATGTCTCCAAACTGGCAAGTGGAGAGGAGTTCTCACCGAAGTATTATAAAGTGGCAGAAACAAGTGTTTACAGTAATTATGCCCCTCTAGCAACTTATTACATTGAAAATTCAAGCGAAAATGAATTTGTAGAAATGCCATTTAGTGAAAAAATTTGGACTCCCCAACAATCAACTGCTCTCTGTAGAGGTCTTGGATTCGACGGTGGACAAACCGTTCCAAGCTCGCTCCAATACTCTCTGTTCAGCTACGACGAAGTGAATCACGACAGGACAGCCTACAGAAAGATATCTTGCCAATCATATGATGTTAATTTGAAAAAATGTGAAAATTTCACTTTTAAAAATGATTTCGTGGCGGTTGATTGTTATACAAAGATTTTGTATCGCATCACCGAGTTAATAAATGATTTTGATATGGAATTTATATTACAGTCTCACAAAGCTTTCTTGTTAACGGTGTTTTTTGAAATCGATACGTTGGATTACATGGAGTTAGAAATTGATTTCAGCAGAGGAGTAGCGGCATCGAATATCATGAAACCAAACTCCAGTTTTTTCAGCATTCGATTCAGTGAGTTTTCTACCACATTTTGCAATAACACCTTCTCAGTGACACCGTATGCTGAATGCGTGAGAAGCAATAAAAATTTTTTTCAAAATGAGACATTGTTCAATAAGAAGGATAAAATAAAATTGAAACTGTCCAAATGTGATAAATTTAAAATTGATTTTATAGTTAATATATGTGATGAAAATGCACAAATGAAATATTTTCCAGAGTCAATATATTACGGAAAAATCAAGGAGTCTAATTTTTTTAAACAATCGATTCACATAAAAATCAACTCACCGTACCTTCGCCTCAGTTCTATCAAAAGGTTTCTCAAATCAAGCACCGGTATATCTTTACTCACCGTTATTTCCTCATTTATATTCATAATATCATTTATTTGTTTTTCGTTGAGGAAAAAAATATGTAAGTGTTTGGGAAAGCACAACCTCTCATCTAAGGAATCAATTAACGATGTTTATTTAGAAGTTCCTGGTAACACTATGACAATAGCTGATTATAAACGGGCTACATATATATCAGACTTAATGTATTTTGGAGAAAATAGTTCGCTCCAAACAAACTCCTCTTTTCTGGCGTTTGATTATCATTCTTCGGCAGCTAACAGGACGATGTTTTCACTGCCTGACATTACCAGATTACCACTATCAAGATTTACCAACTTACTTACAACGGCCAACTCATATTTCAACATTTTAAAATCTTCAAGACCTACCGACGATGCAAAAATTTCTTCAAAGCCGGATGGCATTTTGAAACATGGCAAAAATAAATCTGAAGCGTCACATTTTGAAAGTACAAGTTACGATGATTTCAAAACAGTGCAGGATAATGTATCTTTAGAACAATCAAAATTCAAATTCAGTAAATTTTTTACATTTTTTCAAAAGAACAAAAATAAAAATTTGTCGGTTAGCCAAACAAAGAAAACGAACTCAAAATTATCTTTCCATCAGAAATACTATTCATTACATATTTCAAAAGAGCCTCGCATGAAAGTCACCGGTTTTGAAATATCTAAAAAAGAGACGCCAGCCAAAAGCAAACCTTTTGAAAAATTTTCAAAAAAACCTATGAACAATGAAGCTCCCACCAGTTCAATATATAAATCTGGTGAAAACCCTAGCTCTTAAAATTTTTTCCACAATCTTTTGATGATTACATACATGTGTTTGTATTTTAAAAACTAATTAATTTTTATTTTAAGTTAGGATCTGCTTTATGATGTTACTCCAAAAACATTTTGAAATAAAATATGAAATGTCCACCACATCATGCCAATGAACGATTTCTACACACACACACACACACACACACACACACACACACACACACACACACACACACACACACACACATACACACACACACACACGTTCGTGCGTACGTACGTATGATGAATCTTTCAAATTTCCTTATCACGAACCAGTTTACGTGCAGTGCAAACAAATCTTATAAATTAGATTACACAATAAAGAAGATTTTCTCTACCTGGTCACACAATAAAATATAACAAGATACTAATTGCATTTATTGCTGGCTGGCTGTTAAGACACATACCGTAGTGCAAATTGATATTATGAGAATAAAATAAACGAAATCTGTGTAAGGGTTTGCATACTATCTAAATATGTTTTTGGATTATTTGGACAAATGGATTCAGTTAAGTGGGCCTCAAAATAAACTTTTATATTTTTATTTAGCAGAGTGTAATTTTAAAACGTAATTTTTACTAAATAAGCACATAATAATTTAAAAACTGAGAGAAAGAGTGATAAAATATGGAAACGAAATAGAGGAGAAGTGAAATTTCAGCATTACATGACATCACGCTGAATAAATTAACTGATGCTTGCATGCCGATATATAAATAATTTTCATCGACAAAAGGCCGAAAAATGCCTGAAATTAGGAAGAATATTTATGTATTGAGTTTAAGCCGTGATGTTTATTTTACATTTAAATCCATTTCATATTTAACGTTTTTCAGAGCAAACCAACATGGTTGGTTGGTTAATGATTGGAGTTTTAGAGTATAAAAATAAAAAGATATTTACATTTTTTTCTTTCGATTATATACTTGATTCATTCTTTCATTGTCTCAAAGTCTCAAATACACAGCCTGGACTTGATTAATTTTATGAACTTTCAATTGAATAATTTATAGTTATGTAACAGCTTGGAGCACATCTGGCAATGTTTGTAATTAATTTCTTCCTAATTGCCGCTGCCTTGCTCTTTAATGGGATTTTAGAAGCATGTAAATCAATTGAATGATTTTATATATTCGGTGTGGTTTCTAAATGTTTGATCTACATATTAAACAGGCATAAAACATTATAGCGAAAAATAATTTTATATAAAAATATAATTGAGTTCTGGTTAATAAAAGCATAAACAAATTGAAACAAGCTGTTTTAATGGGGAAATATTTTAGATGGTGTGTTAAAAAAGCCTGCCAATTTACCTCATGACATGTGCAGACATAATATTGCCATTTTTGCACCAGCTTTCCAGAATTTTCAAATAAGATTTCAAATGCTAACATTTTTCTATGTTAATTAGTATATACGTATGTGTGTATCGTATATGTGTATATATGGTTACAATAACATTGTTATATATATATATATATAACATTTATGTATGTATGTATATATGAGCGTAGTTTTAACCAGACATCGGAGCATGGATCATAGAAGCTTCCGCACTTTTATTTCTTCTTGCTTCCAGCATCTCAAAAAAACTGTTATCTTAATTTTTTATGTAGCAACTCTACTAATTATGGGATTTTTGACTGAATTGTTGAACAATTGAAAAATAAACATTTTGACGTTGTTTATTAACGATATTATTATAAAAAAATTGAACATTACACTTGTATATTATCATATTTACATATGCGAATTTATTTAACTATTTAAGCAGTGACGCAAAACTGACAGTCACAATGCAGTTTAACAAAGTTTGTATTAAATTTGTCTGCTCCGAGACTACAAATACGGTTTTAATTATTTTCCTATATTACATTTTATTCTTTACGTGGTTGCCAAGCTCCTGGTTGGTCGACGCAGAAGGTTCGTTCTTTAATATTTTGTTTAGATTATAGATTTTATTTGCTTTCAACAACTTAGAAATTATTCAATTTACGAATCATTTATTTGTAATATTTACATTTATTAGAATGTTATTCGCAAAAAATTTTTTATTTTATATAAGGAAACCACTTTTGCAATAATTAAATAATTTTAATGGAGCCCAATCAAATTTTCAACCGACGTAAAGTGGTCTAAAAAATTAATTCACTATTTTAATTTCCATATAACCGTGAAACGTCTGCCAACAAAATTAAGAATAAACAAAATGCATGAAGTAATTTATATAAAATAATAAAATTTAGTGAATAAAAATAATTTAGGATTATATATTGTTTGAAATTTGAAATGAAAAAAAAAACATGGGCGGCAGAATCAAATTTTAAAGTATAGCAATGCTGTGCAAAGGGAAAGTATTAAATTATTATTCTGTCTCCAGCTTATTAAAACAATTTTTAAATTTATATGACTCAGCCAGACATCCTCATCTCTAACAGAAACAATATCTTTCAGATGTTATTACGATTTTCTACTAAAAATTTATCATTCCTTGTTTAAAATGTTCAAATTAAGACGTTTTACTTTTCATTTAAATTATTTTAAATTTTTACTCTTTTGTTGACTCGAGACTGACAGAAGAAGCCATACATGTTTTTATTATTTGCAATTAAAATACAGCTGCATACTGATTAATATAAAAAATACGAATGTGCAGAAAAAATTTTTCACATTTCCAACAAATAGTTCTAAAAAAAGAGAATGAATCAAAAAACACATCACATAAGTTACATTTGCAATGCACCTCGTGTATTTACTGGCAGTTGACTGTTAAAAATATCAAATTTGTATTGATTGATTGTAGTGATGATAATAAGAAATAACTTTTGAAAATTTTTCTTAATTTTTATTACAGCTAGTTAAATATTCAAAAAAGGAATTTAGAGAGAAAAATTTATTGAATTATTTTATTATTCTATTTTGGAAGTTCTGTGGGTTTTTTCCACAAATTTACAAAAATTATATGGGCGATAACTTTCTTTAATTTAGTGTCAGTAAAATGTAATTCACAAAACCGTAACCATCTGCGCGCTTACAGCCTGTATCTTCTACGAAGAACCTCAGTTGAAGCAGTGAGCAACAACAGCATAACATAAACATCGTTGCACGTGTCCCGTCTTTTAAGATTCATTATTTCTGATTTATTCATTATGTATACGTGTACCTATATTGTTATTTTAATTAACTTATTCATTTGCGTGTTTCCTCGAGTGTCTGTTAATTTGTTTATTAACGACGATGCAAAGGACGAATTTTTTGGAGGTTCTGTGCTGAAAAATGATCGGTAAGATGACGTTCCACGTCTCAGAATAGTTTAAAATAATTTTTTTTGTTGCCAATTCCTGGTGTTTCAGCACAAATGGGCTATCTTCACGCCTATTTCTTTCCATTCCGATTTTATACCTGGGTATTGTTGATTTCGTTTAGTTTCAAATTTCGTAAATAAGGTTTAAACCTTTTAAGTATTTCATTGTGTTTTGAATGCTAATTGGATCTTAAAATATTTGTAGCATGTTGGTCGGGATGTTTTGAATTCTTCTGTTTAATTTGTTTGCGTTGTTTTGTTGCTGAAAGCATAAAAATTGATTCGATGCTCAACGTCCACATCATCTAAATGATATTTAGTTTTTGATCGTTTGATATTTTACATAATCTATCATCATTATGTGTTTTCAAAAATTCAAATTGTTTTTTGATTGCTTGGGAAAAAATTTATATGTCAAATTATTATTATTATCCTTCATTAGGAAAAAACAACAAAATAATTTTTAACGTTATTAGTGAGAGCTCGTTCATACAAAAGATTTTGACTAGACTTTTCATTAAAAATTATAACATAAATGTGGTTTGTGACGCAACGACTGCTGCTTCTCTACACCACACGACTTGCAAATCATTTCGCGCTTTTACCAAACCAGCATGTACCAACTTGTATTTGAGCATTTAAAAAAATCATTCAAAAACCTGCACAGAAAATGTTTTAATGACATCTGAATATGTTGGTTTGCTAAAAAACATTAATGACATGGTTTCAAATTGATGTGACAGTTGTACCAAAAACATTTAAAAAAGACATTTTAAAATTAAGCAGTTGAAGAAAAATCCTGAATCAAACTTTTTGATTTTGTGAAATTTTGTTTAATGCAAAAAGTCATAGTAATGGTACTTTGGCAACAACAAAACATCGTTTGGTCAAAATAATTTTAAACCTTTTTTACGCTTCGCAAGTTATTATCTTTAAATTTTCATGTTCCATTGTGTAATTACATGCCCGCCTGGTCAGCATGAGAAATAAGCATCATTTTGGGCAGTTTGCTTACAACATTAAGTACATTGAGTACATTTTGCACCATTCACTCACCTCTCCATTCACAGTTTTCTCAAAATTTTCAGCATTTTTAAAGTCAACAAATACTAATTTAATTAATTAGAGCCGAATAAATTCATTTTATTTTAATTTGAAAAATTGGAAAGCTCAAAATGCTATTAAAGATAAACTACATCAAGTTTGTTTGCTTGTTATGAAGAATTTAATGTGTATAAACATCTTTTGTGTCTATTTTTATGTGTCGGTAATGTGTGTTAGGCATTTTATTAACTGAACATTTTTTTTATTATTTTGGAATCGCATTTGAATAGATAAATAAAGTAATGAACGATGGAGGCTGGCAAGCAGTTCTTTACATAGCAGCATTTTGTGGAACGTTACATTTATTTACAACACATTGCACGTATTTGCACACACATTCATCATTTCTTCAAAATGTTTTAATGAAAATTGTATAAAAACGTTATAATTATTCTATGAAATTAAAATTAAAAAAAAAATATTTGAATTGTTTGAAAATTTAAGAGCACGTGCTACAAATAGGTATTTCATTTTGTTAGATTTTTGCTTTTTCGTTGAATCATGAATGTTTCTGAAAAGCGTGTGTGAATATTGTTTCAACCAACAATAACAATTCTTATTAAAATTAATT